AAACATGTACTGTTGAAAAATTACAGATACAGATACAGAAGCTTTATTTTACGTCGAATATTATAAACATACAACATAAGCTACGAAGAGCTTGTATTTCGACAAACACATGTAAAGAACAAAATACATAACAAGAAAAAAAAATTACAAAATACACATACATATTGAAACGTTAAACAGTAAAAATAAAACATTTGCAGAAAATAAACATATGACAAAAGCATCAAATTGTAAACTACAAAGCTGACAAAAAGCACAGAGCCATATGTAAAGCTGTACGTTACATTTTAAACAGAGAAAAATACACTTCAGTCAGCACAGGACACATACGAAGCAGGAAAAAATAGGTAGCCAAAAACGCTAACCAACACATAAAGTGCATCCGCACTCGGGCCCGCCCCACCTCAGGATCAGTCTGCCGAACTCGGAGTAGTTCTCCACTTTACGTAATTCGTTCGGCAGGCTGTCCAATATGCGGGCGCCCTCATAGCGGAAGGACCTCTTTCCATAACTGGTGGTGTTGACCCTTGGTAGCTGTGCTGTATTTTCATTCCTTAATGAATAAGATGAACATTTTATATTTATTATTTCTTGTAGGTAGTCGGGAGATAACTTATTAACAATTTTAAAAACTTCACAAGCAATGAGTTTCATGCGAGTAATATTTAAATAATATGAGTCTGTGCTCGATAAAATATCCTTGTAGTCTGAGATATAATCATTTAGTACAAAACGGAGTCCGCTCTCCTGGATTTGTTCCATCTTGTTTGTGCTAGATTTATTAGCTCACCGGGTCCGAAGGACCAAGGTGAGCTTATGCCATACCGTGGCGTCCGTCGTCCGTCCGTCAACAATTTCTTTAAATGACTTCTTCTTCTTAACCACTGATTGGAATTTAACTAAATTTGACTGGAAGCATTCCTAGGGGGTGGAGATTCAAAATTGTACAAATGGTTGGGCTGACCCCCCAGGGGGCTGAGGGGCGCGGCCAAAAAGGGGTAATTTTATAAGACTGGAAGCATCCCTAGATGGTGAGGATTCAAAATTGTACAAATGGTGGGGCTGACCCCCCAGGGGGCTGAGGGAGGGGCCAAAAGGGGGGCAATTTGGCTATATTGCTATAAACGACTTCTTCTGTAGAACTATGCCATGGATATCGATCATATTTGGTCGGAAGCATTCATGGGAGGCAGGGATACAAAATTGTACAAATGGTGGGGCTGACCCCCCGGGCTAAGAGGTGGGGCCAAAAAAAGTTTATTGCTTGGAAATGGTTGAGATCCCCACCATATAACCACATATACAATTGCTGAGTATAAAGAGAAGAATGCACATTTGCTTCCAGGATCGCCCTAGGGTCTGACCCCACCCTTGGAAACATAGTCCCTGGGCCATAACATTAAAACTGTTGAGATCCCCACCCCAAACCTATATATACAAAAGCTGGGCATAAAGAGACGAATGCAGTCACGATGTTAGAATAGACCCTGGGGTCTGACCGAACCCCTAGGGACCTAGTTTCTTAGTCACAGCTTGGAAACAGTTGAGATCCCCACCCTATAAAGAGATGAATGCACATATGCTTCCAGGATGACCTGTGGGGACTGCCCCACCCTTGGAGACTTAACCCCTGGGTCCTAACTTCGAAATGGTTAAGATCCCCACCCCAAAACTATATATACAATTGTTGGGCATAAAGAGACGAATGCAGTCATGATATTAGAATTGACTCCAGGGTTTGCCCCACTCTTGCAGACTTAACCCCCGGGTCATAACTTTGAAACGGTTGAGATCCCCACCCAAAACTATATATACAAATGCTGGGCAAAAAGAGACAAGTGCAGTTATGATATTAGATTTGATCCTGGGGTCTGGCCACAACCGTAGGGACCTAGTTTCTGAGTCACAGCTTGGAAACAGTTGAGATCCCCACCCCATAACCATACATAAAATTGCTGGGCATGAAAAATCGAATACAGATATATATGCTACACGGATTGGCCTTGGGGTCTGGCATATTCCCTTGGATCTCATTTGGAGAATATTTTGCCATGATTGCTTAGATATCCAGGTGAGCGATACAGGCCCTATGGGCCTCTTGTTT